AAGGATTGTACGGCACGACCTATCGGTTGTCCAACATATGACCCCTAACTTTAACACAAATACCATTATTGCTACGTTTATACAAAGGGTATGAGTTGTCACCAAATGTAGTGACATTACAATAATCCTTAGGGAATTTATTTTTGTATTTTTGTCAGATTCCATACATACATTTTTGGGATTCAAATATCCACAAGGACCATGCATATTATATTTAACAATAACGGAATGAAGATGAGGATGTCTGGTTTGGTCAGGAATTTCACAGCTAATTATTCTATCAACATCTACAGCAGAACAAATTTTGTGTCCAGATTTGAAAATCAATAAAAAATGTGCATGAAGAAGACCTCTTTTTTGAAATTCAATAACATATATATGTGCAACAACAGGGCCTAACATATTGTTTTTTGTATAAATCATCTTTCAACTCTTCTAGTTTTGATCTAAATATACGTACAATTAAATCTGGGCGATTTTGAATATTATCATTGTGTTTTAATTCTTGCTTAATCTCTAACCAATCTGAATTACATGTAATAGTCAAAAATATATTTGGCTTTCCATAACGTTGCACAATACCCATTGTATCCATATATCTTCTTAACATATCTCTAGGACTGTAACACCCCGAAAATTTTAGAAAATAAAATTATTTATTTCATCTACTACATTTTATATTTTGAAAGTTGGTGGACTAAGGTGACATATATTAAATTATATTTTATTTGGGTCAAATATCTAGATGTTGATAGAGTAATGATAAGTATATCAATATTGTACTCGTTAGATATCTTGTAATTAATTATGTGTATTGGGCTCGAGAAAAAGTCAATTCGAATAAACGAGGGTCAAGTTATTGAAGTTGAAAGATATTACCTAAATTCATAATTAATTATGTTAATGTTGATTTTAATTTGCTCCCAATCCCACGTGAACTATTAAGTATAGAGTAACTTTCTCTTACTTTAGAAGGTACGAATGATCAATATAGTATACTATTTTATGGACACTTTATTTGCATAGTACACGGCAATCATGATTGTTGGGATATAGGAATTAGAGAGGATTATGCTACTTGTACATTTTTTTTACTCTAAGTTTGACATTGTGCCACATGTTGCATCATGATTTGCCAGTTTTTAAACATTACACACTTTCCCGCCAACAACACTTTGATTTAGGATCATGCTACTTGTACATTTTTTTTACACTAAGTTTGATATTGTGCCACATGTCGCATCATGATTAGTCAGTTTTTAAACATTATACACTTTCCCGCCAACAACGCTTTGAATTTCCAAAGCATGTCAAATTTCATGTCAACAAAAGAATGTACAAATGGCACAATCCAATTAGAGATGGTATGCACGTGTACGAGATTATTGGATTTTGAATTGTGTGATTTTGCCGACACGTATATTTCATAGAATAGGCAAATAAGAATTTGATTGAGTTGATTGCTATTTTTTAATATGGTAAATGGCACATTTATTTAAATCATACTAAAACTAAGCTTTTAATGTTAGGTGCAGACCGTATAAATACCCCCATTATGTTCAAAGAATTCCCACCCCAAAAATATACATCTACTTACACACGGTAGAAACTTACACCACACATATTCATATTCAAAATTTTATTTAGAATTTTGAGTGAAGACAGTGCAACTCGTATTTTGATAAGATCTCACAACATTTTTCATTAGTCCGGTAAAGGTAAGATACTACGTTCTTGCAATATTATAATTTCTTTTGCGTAATTTATCTCATGAAATGCTAATAGACCTACGGGTCTTGAAGAAATGAAATGAAATGAAATGTGAGATCTCCTTCGGGTTTTCTCAAATGCTAGAGCTTTCGATTGATCTCCGATTGCTCTTGATGAAATGATGGTATGAAATATTATAGATTTATGTTTTAAGAGTTATTGTATTGTTTTGGGAGCACGTATCCTATTGAGTACGTATCCTACTGAGTCAAATTACTCATTCCTTCAAATTTCAATATTTTCAGATTAGATCGGTCAACGTGGATGGTGGTTGTGCAGTGTGCGGATTGCCAAGTAATAAATTTTCAAGGAAAGACATTTGACAATAGATTATGTTACGATATTTTGTTTTCTTTAATTCCGTTAAATATTTAGATTTATTGACATTATGTTTAAATTGATGTTTGAATGTTTTAAATAAATTAAGGATTTCAAATTTTTAATTAAATAATTCCGCATTATGAAATGATATCGGTGACACCCCAGAATTTAAGTCGATGAAATTTGGGGCGTTACAAGGACCACATGTAAAAGACTGTGACAAAATAAATTTTCTTCCAATGTTACAACCTCTCGTCTCTCCACTTTGAACACTGTCTACAATACCCTGGTAAATTCCTCTCGAATTTGTTTTTGATTATTACGAAAATAGACTAATCTTTCGGTTTCAATCTTAACATACATATCCACGACATATTGTTGAAACAATCGACCACTATGAAGCAAAACAAACTTACCGTAAGGCCGAATTTGCAACTTGTATAAATAATTTTCTCGACAAGAAACCTGAGATCGGTGCTTCGTTCCACTAAGCACTACAAAAAAGTGATCATTCATTTATAACAGTTACATGACACAAATGAGATAAATATGGAAAAAAAAATTTGTTCACGAACCTTTATTTTCGTGTTCAATAAATTCAGCTGCAGAAGTCACTGTTGAAGGTATAGCATCAAATTCAGAAGTAGGTTGAACAAAGGTCGTCATACATCTCCTAATCCCTTCATGCCAACCAGATTCCTCGTATGGGAAAAGTAATGGATACTACAAAGAATTATAGCAACCGTAATAATAATGGACTCTATGTACATCATTAGAATGACCATGTATAATAATATCACGAACGTGAACATTAGCATTCATATCGTCTTCCACCCATGTAGTAGCTAC